ACGTAACCACCACGCGCCGGCCGTTGACCGGCCGTGATTTTCCAACGGTGTCAGAAAATTATGACTTTTCATAGGCAGATGTGGAATTTCATGCTGATCATCACGGTATGTTCCGTTTTCCGAAACGAGTTCAGGATTGGCCGAAATCTGCAATTTTCCGAGCGACTGGCTGGAAATTGCGATCGCCGGTGAGGGCGCGTCCGGAGTCGGAATTGGATGATTTTTTAGTGGAAGGTTCACATTTTCATGGGTAATCTGATGGTCTAGCGCGTGTCCCTATTTGAGCTCTGTGGAAGGGTTAATTGAAAAATTAGTTTTTGGCCCCTCGGGATCCGATCTGTCAATTTCGGGCGATTCGGATGAAATCTCTACCACCCCCAGGGTTTTCGGCCCTTCTGGAATCATTGGTGATGGTCCCAGACCCTGATTCAATGTGTAGGGGGGTGTTTTGATGACCTTGGGATTCGTGCCATGATTTTCCAAACTCAGATCTATTGAGTTGGGGGATGAATCTGATATTGGTGTTATAGGAGATGTTTGGGTGGTTGTTGGTGATGATTTTCCACCACTTAGAGTGCTGCAATCCGGTGGTTTTGGTGGTGGATCAAGTTTGTTGGTTTTGGGTTTAGGATTTAGGGGTTAGGGTTTAAGGGTTAGGGTTTAGGGTTTAGGGTTTTTTTTTTTTAGAAGCAAAATATATTGTATTAGGCAATAGAAACAATACAAATCATGTCGAGGAATTCACATTATTGCCCACGAATATATGGGATTACGATTCAATTCTTGCAGCATTACGAATTCTGTAGAATATTAATATCACTATGAATATAAAGCCAGATATAGAGAGATGCTGATCAAAGAAAATGAAGGCATTGTATAAAATCTAAGCACTAACTGCAAGACCTGCACGGTTGCCATTTGCAGAGGATCTCCCAGCATCTTGTCAAAACTTTTTCTAGCCCCAATTGTCTACGGAAAATGGTCGTTCATAGAATGCGACAAAACCTCAATTACGCTACTTCCATCTCGACCATGGACGATATTGTCTTTGTTGTTCTTGTGCTCCCAAGGTTGTTGGTCTTCTACTCTGCACTTTTCATCGGGTGCCACCAAGTTCAAAAACCTTCTCGAGCACAAAAACGTTATTTATCAAACGTAATGAAGAATGTCATGAGAACCTGAGATGCTCGATTCAATGGCTGTTGTTTCTTGCGAAACCTTCTGAGCTCGTCTTCTCCTCTCTTATTCTCCCTTTAGCTTGGTCAGGCTCGGTATATAGAGAATCACAATTCTACCAATCTGACTAGGGACGACAGAACCAGTAGCTTCCTCTGTTAGGAAAATTCAGAATTGGCAGGTTTAGGGTTTAGGATTTAGGGTTTTTTTTTTAAGCAAATACCACTAGTGTGGTTTATTTTATATAATGAAAAGTGGGAAAACAAATAGAGGAGGGGGCATGGACCTGACCTCCAGCAAATGTAAATTGTAACAAATATTTGAAGATAAAATGCAATCACAGTAAACAAGACATGAATAAAAACTAATGAAAGGTACTCAAGGGTATTCCCGAGGGTAAATCTTCGGGTGGTAGTACATAGACATTGATCGAGTCATGCGTCTGGTTTGAAACATTTTGGGATCATAGTAGTCTGCGATGTCTGGCTTGCTCGTTGGAGAGGGGTCTCGCCTGCGTGTAGGAGCCTGATTTGGTGATAAGTACTGTTCAGATGGTGGTGCACTGAATGTCGGGCGAAAAGCAGGTGCATCTGATCTCATTGTACTAGTCGTAGGTGTGTCTAATCTCATGGTGTTCTGTGCTACGATATCTGAATCGTGGGAGATTGACCTGCTTGCTGTAGGGACATCGTCCTCTGCATTTTGCATGCAGTTTCCAAGGCCCATGCCATCCATGTCTCTCTGTATATGTTCTTTCACCTTATTGTGTGTAGGAGCTGTGATAGAAGGACTAGGTGAAGGTGTATTCGTAGGAGTCTTACTCACAGAAGGTCCCTCTCCAAAGAGCTTAAAAACCAAGTCCTCAATAGCAAATCTCATGGTAGATCCAACTTTCATTCCATGGTCCTTCTTAAAGTGATCAATCAGCATATGCTTGACACCATGTCGCTCTGAGGTGATCTCAGCCAACAACCCCTGTGCAAGAGTGGTTTGAGGAACTGTCCCGATACCTGATCCCTGCACTGACTGAGTACCATCTGTGTGTGTCTTTAACGGTGGAGAACTCATATGTGTCGGCTCAGGGGGTGCATCAGTAGTAGCTGTGGGAATAGGAGCGGTGGAAGTAATAATAGGAGAATTGGGTACCTCGATGGGAGCATTTGGAGTAGGCTCAGCAATTGAATGAATATACGGAGGTACCTCTGGAACAACTGTGATACGAGTAGAGGTAGGAACTGTCGATGCAGATTCTGACTCTGTCATAACTGCGGTAGTAGTAGTGGGTTTTTGGGCCTTCTGAGTTCATTGGTGATGGTCCCATATCCAAATTCTGATTATAAGTGTGTGTTCGATGACCTTGGGATTCGTGCCATGATTTTTCAAACTTAGATATATTGAGTTGGGGGATGAATCTGATATTGGTGTTATAGGAGATGTTTGGGTAGTTGTTGGTGATGATTTTCCACCACTTAGAGTGCTGCAATCCGGTGGTTTTGGTGGTGGATCGGGTTTATTGGAGTTTTGGTGGTTTTCTCCCATTCTAGAGAGAAGGGAGAGCTTTTTAGGGTAGAGAGAGAAAGTTGGTTTGGGTGGTGGTTTAGGGTTTAGGGTTTTTTAATCAAGTTTTTGATGTGATTTATTGTATGTTTAATAATAAGCAACAACCATGAATTAATGGTAATTTACGACATTGTGGGACAAAATGTGATCAAATAATCCGCAACCGAACATGTGCGTGTACTTGAAGCATCGTCGTACGCATAACTATAAGCTGTCGGGCTAGCATTCTTGAACATCTGAGAGTACTGTGTCAACGGGCAAGTCGCCGCCGTCGAGTGTTCGCCGGTGCAGCAATACTCCGTAGTGTTAAAGGCAGCGCACGCGCTTTTACACGCCACTACCGAACCGGAAGTCGGGTCTGTCACTTGTAATTCTTTAGGACAGCTTCCATTGAGGTCGGCTATGCAACCGGCGTACTGGCAATCGCCGGAGCCACCGAAGGGACGGACACTGAGGCCCACATTGTAGCCGTCGATGAGGCTAACGTCGTAGAAATCTTTCTCCGTGTTGTCACGTGCAAGTGAGAATTCAACAAGGGACACAGGCGGTTGGCCACCGTCGTTGCATTTTAATGTGCCGCTGCAATCACCAATTATGCATTTTCCGTTCCCGGCTTCGTCGAAGTTGCAACCTATTCGGGCCCAAAAATGGCCTGACCAACCCGACGGGCCGGGGAGTTGGCTGGTTCCTCCGGGGGCTAATGCAAAGCCGTCGTCGCCAAGAATGGCACCTCCATTATCGGAGAGTGTCCCCGGCCAGATTGTGTAATTGCAAGGTTTAGGGTTTAGGGTTTAGGGTTTTAGGGTTTAGGGATTTTTTTTTTTTTTTTGTAAAGACATCCACACATCCTTAGTGACTTTTTAGGGTCCACCAAGGAAGGTCGATGGGGGTTAAGGGTTCCCCAACCATATTTATTTCATAAAAATCAAGAATACACGAAAGGAGGGGGGCATGAACCTGACCTCCAAAAAGCAGTGATGCAACAAATGACTCTAATAAATGAAAGCAATAAATGAGGAAGTACTACTTCCCTATACAATAAAGAATAGCCTAAATTACAAACCTCTGAAACTGGGCAATCCATGTCTGTCGATCTGCACTATCGCCCTAATATGTCGAGGCAATTCTAGTGGTCCATACTCTAGATAGCGCCGATGATTCTAGCCTTCTGTAGCAAGAGAATCAGCAACCTGGTTGCCTTCTCTATAGATATGTGAAACCATGTCTCTATCGAAGTAGATGAGGTCTCTGATCTGTCTAAGAATACCCTGAATCAACCATGGTCCTCCACCTTTGGTAATGCAATGAATAGCCAACGTTGAATCTGCCTCGAGCCAGAAAGCTGAAATCCCAAGTCCTCTGGCCAATAGAAGCCCATCTAGTATGGCTCTGAGTTCAGCCTCCAAAATGAAACATGGGTCATACGATGCTGAGAATGCCCTGATACAGTATCCCGCGTGGTCCCTAATGATGCCTCCACCACTTGCAAATCCATCTTTGACGCATCCATCAGTGTTGATCTTGTAAGATCAAACTGGTGGAGCGCGCCAAACAACCATAATAGGTGGTGGTGTGAGAGGACGGGTCAATGAAATCCCAAAAAAAGGTGCAAGTATCACATCTCCTCGCCAATGCTCAACTCGAAATAGTCCTCCCATATGAAGAAAGGAGATCATGTGGTGGACCCTCCAAATAATACGTCTGGCCACCATACGAATACCTCTATGCTTCGCATCATTCCTCTCAGTCCATAGAAACCAAAATATCAGTAGAGGAATGATAATACGAATGTGTCAACGGTAAATGTGCTGTTCAGAATACCACCATCTCTGGAACCTCTGTCTGACCCCCTCCCCTCAAGTCATAGGTATCTGAAAGATGTCTCCAAAGTGCTGCCATACCTGGTCGGAGATGCTGCTGCTCGTGAAAATATGATTGATGGTCTCAATCTCGGAACAACACTGACAACGAGAAGCCAACTGACATCCAATTCTCCTTTGAATAACAACATCTACTGGAATGAGATCCTGCCACAGTCTCCAGCAGAAGAATGAAATAGTGGCAGGCAAGATAGAGCTCCACAGCAGTCGATATGAGTCCTGAGGCTGGTGAACCGAACGGACTAGTTGCCATGATGATTTGGTGGTAAAGTCACCATCCGAAGTAATTTTCCAAACAATTCAGGGTTCAGGGTTCAGGGTTTAGGGTTTAGGGTTTTTTTTTTAAAAAAATGCAATTTATTAATATCTTTGATGTGTTTAATGTCGTTCTACAACTATATTTGGTACATGTATAAGCTTATGAACT